GAGGTGGCGCTCCCCTGGGTCCTAGAGGTGGGCAGCGTCTAGTTGTAGGTTTGCCGGGGCCACTGGGCTCTAAATAGCAAGGTCGGTGGCTGCACAGCGCCACGTCCTGTTCTCCTGCCCAGGACGCAGCGTGGGGGTCACCCTGCAGAGAATGCTCATTATGGGCCACGGACTCGGGGTGTGGGCAGGCCTGGTCACTTGCCCTCCAGACTGTTTCTTCCTCTGGGTTGGGCATCCACCCTTGGAGCCACCCTGGAACCACAGTTTCCAGACTATGCCAGCCGACCCACCTGATCTCCTTCACTGTCCACGGAAGAGACCCATCTATGGTTTGAGGACAGCTGGCACCGTCCTGGGTTGCCTAAGTACCGGCATGAATGTGGTCCTGAGTCGCAAGGTGCTCAGTCTGCAGTTTTCTCTGTGGTCCCGTGGCCAGGGCTTGAGTACAAAGACCTCTTTGGCTGTGTACTGTGTGTATGCCCGTTCTCGGTGTAGAGAGGCTTTGAAGCCCGCCTTTATGCTGCCACCATATGCTCTTCCTTGCGACCAGCCTATGTGGACTTCTTGTCTTTAAGGTCGGACCTTGGTGTTTGGTGGACCATTGAGGGAGCACAAAAGGGAAATTCCCCCTTATGTTCTGATCTGTGGTCACTGCGTGCTCCGGTCCTGTGGCTACTGCAGCCGATGCTGTGGTGGATTGGTTGTGGGACAGAGAACCCTAGGAAGTGGCTTCTTAGCTTGCAGGAGAATCTGTCAGTGGTCCTCACTGCCAGTTCTCTCCCTTCTTTCAAGGCTTAGGCAGGCTGATCCTGCCAGACACCCACCCCCTCTTCCTCTTGGCAGCCTTCCTCTTTCATTACTGCACAAGCAGGCTTACCCTTACCCTGCCCTCTCCTCTTCTCCCCTGCCTTTTCCAAGCTGGCCTCTGCCAGGAACTGGCGGTAAGGTCGGCAGTTCTCCTTTCTAATAGAATGTAGGGCTTGGTCACAAGCGTGTTGTGGGCACTCCCAGAGAGTCTCACTTCTGTCAGAGCAAAGCACTAAACCCTGAAGGGGTCATGACGTTGCTGACCTGGGTGTGGTGTCCTCAAAGCTCAGGCTGCTGTTAACCCCCACTGTCTGCAAGTGACCTTGGGGGTGACTCACCTTTCTGAGTTTTGATCCCTGGTCGCGATGATGTACTAGCTGTAGGCCTAAGCAGCTTTGGGATGGATGAGTGTTGGCCTGTGGTATGGTGGCCCCAGGTCCTTGTTGCTAATGTGCAGTCCTGGAGTGGGAGAGGACAACCAACTTGTGGCTAACAGAAGTCACTGTCAAATGGGGATAGCAGGGAGGTGTGCTCCTCAGCAGGTGCCATAGATGTGGAGCTGGCCCCAGAGCTGGACGCCAATGCTGGCAGGCACTGTGGGATCCTTGAGGTGCCTGAGGGACATTTAGGCAGGAATTTGGCTTCTTCCTGGGTGTGGTGTTGTGGTGTGTTCTCTCACAGACCAAACTTGACCAGGAGGTCAGAGAAGATAGAGCATACAGCTTGTGTTTTATTTAATTTTGAAAAAAAAAAAAACCTCAAGGAACCTACAACAGCTGCAGCAGCAGCAGCAACAACAACACACACACATGCACACATGAACGTGCACACACACCCCTGGATATCCCTTGGAATTCAGTCAGAGAATTCTGGCCTGTCAGAAAGGCCACTGTCTGCCCCGTGGAGAATGGCACCCCTCATTAAGCCCAGGCCTCACTTAGCCCTAGTGACAGCTTCTCCAGCCCCGAGATTTCAGACTCTTACGATTGAAATTCTTACTCCACAGCACCCTTTTATGCCATGGTCCCTTCTACCTGGCTTGGTCAGCTCGGGCCTTCCTCAGACATGGTCAAGCGAGTTCTGTTTGGCCTTCACCCTGACCTCTTTGCAGGCGTGGAGAGACTTATAAAAGCATGCTAGAAAATTTTGCCTACTTGGCACCTTCCTACTCATCCCTCAGAATCTAAATTTGAGTTTTAGATGCCACTTCCTTTACCTCCCCAAGACACCTTCTCTCTTCTTATTTCTCCTCACACTGGACCCTAACTCGGAAACCCTTTGCCCACAGTGCCTGTCTTTGTTCTGAAAGTGGCAGTTCCCAAGCTTCAAACGCACAGGTCCTGGAGTCTCTTCAATACCCCATGATCCAGTGGCTCAGGACTGATTCTTAAGCTCAGAGACTCAGAGACACCTGAATCACCAGCACCAGGTTGTCAGGGAGCAGGGCCTCTACAGAACAGAAAGGCTACTTTTGCTTTGTCTTCCTGAGCTTGGATCCAGTTAATCCTGGATCACCTGCTTAAATGGGCCAGTGCCTCTGACCTCAGCCCTGCCAGCTCATATATTACTGTTCATATTCTTCTCTGAGCTCTCCCGAGGTCACAATGCCTTCCCTTTTTCCTCTTTGCTGGCTGCATTTGCTCATGCTCCACAAGGGGGCGCCTGAGACCGCTGCCCGAAGCTTCCTTCCTGGCCTGGAGAAGTCTGCAGGATCTGGAACCTCTGATTGCACCCAGAGGTGAAGGTGTTGCAGGGGGTGGGGCTGGACTGAGGCTCCCCTATTCCCTGTCTGGCCTCCGTGCGTTGCTTCATCTTCCTACAGGGTTGAGATGGGGGAGAAGCCGCCCAGAGACCTGGGAGGGAGATGTGCCTCACAGACCCTCTGGATGTCGGAAGAGCCTCGGTGTACTGACTGTCCCGAGCTGTCTTCAGGTTGGGTAGTTTGACTTGTGCAAATAATAGTCTGTGACAGAAAGCCACGTCTGGGCAAGTGTCCTTCAGTCTTGTGGGTTAGGACTCCTGACAGCTGTCAATAGGGGAGAGGCTGAAGTCCTCCATGTCCATTGGGCTCCTGGGGCTGTCTGTTGGTGTCGAAGATTCCTTCAGCTTCCTTCTCCCTTGAGATGGCTTCTTCGGAGCTGTGGGAAATATGCAGTTAGAAGAGGCATGGAACCGGCCCTGTGGTCTTGTTTCTCCTCCCTAGATGTTTCTCTGGCTTTCAGCTTCGAGGCTCAGGAAAGCTAAACTCCTTGAAGTCAGCTGGCCACTCTTGTTCCTAACAAAGTGTCAAGTGGCTGGAACATGGGAGGAGAGCCACAAGAGTATGGCTCTCACAGAGCCCAACCCCAAAGTCTCCCTCACTGCCACAGGGTGGCTGGACTGTGACTACAAGGGAGGGGCATCTGGCTCTAGGCAGGTCACACCCAGGACCTATTGAGACGTGTGGTTTTGGACCGATTCACTCACCAAGCCTCAGTTTCTCCATCTGTCAAATAGTGTCAATTCACCCGCTGGGTGAATTTGAAGGCCCAAAGTAGAGACAACTACATACCCTTCCCACTCTGCATAGATCAAGGTAATGCTGGGATGTGTGACACCCTGCTGGGTAAAGCAGGAGTGTGACCTTTACAATGTGCTTGTTCTTCCCATTGACTACCAGGCAGTGTTGGGAATGGAGGAGTGCTACCCCACAGGATGCCTGGAGCCAGCTATTCCTTGCTCAATTCTACCTGGGGAGGTTGGGGACGGGGCTGGCGCGCTCAGTGTGAAAGGGGCAAGGCAAGCACACACTGGGAGCCCAGGTGAGCCACACCCACTCCATGTCGCACACAACAGGAAGTGCTTGGAAATGACACAGGCACCCTGGCCTCCACTCGGAGCAAACACAGGCTGCGGTCAGTCCCTTTCCAGCAACAATGGCTTATTGTGGCCCCGGCCCAGCCTGCTGAGCTGTAGCCTGGGCAAACATAGGCCACATGCATATTAGCTTAGGTGTTCAAAGACTCACCATTGTGCATTGGAGCAGGAAGTGTCCTGATTCTCAGACCCGGGACCAGTCTGAGATTCCTGCTATCTTATCGGGCAGAGCTGAGCTCAAAGGCACCGCCCTGGGCAAACACGTGGGCAACCCTAACCTTGAAGGAACACAGGGACAGTGGAGGTAGCTGCCCAAAGGTGTATAAGAGGGTCCAAGGATGCCAGTCCCAAGGAGCTGCACCCAGGGGGACAGTAATAAATGTCCTCAGTTCCACTCCCCCCCCCCCACTTTTTGAGACAGGGGCTAGCTCATATTAGCATAGGCTGGCCTTGATCTTACTACAGCTGAAGATGACAACATGATTTACAATGTTTCCTGTGGCTGGGTTTAGTGGTGCATACTTTTAATCCTAGCACTCAGGAGACAGAGGCAGGACAGTCTCTGTGAGTTTGAGGTCTTTCTGATCTGCAGAGGAAGTTCCAGACCAGTCAGGGCTACATAATGAGAGCCTGTCTCAAAACCAAAAAAAATCCAAAATATTGTTCCCTGTGGAAGATGTCAATATTTTTTTTTTGAGTGTTGGGATTAGAATCCAGGGCCTCATGTGTGCTACGAAAACCTTCTACCGGCTGAGGTGTATCCCCAATCCCTTTCAGCTCTACTCTTACCCCACTGAAGTTTTGTAGAGCTCTGGTGTTGGTGCTCTTGAGGGGAGGAAGCTAAGGCCCAGGAGTAGTGCCGGGAGGCCATGTGGTCAGGATTCACAGAGGCCTCTACTGGGGAGGTTTAGGGGTTCCGTCAGGCTCTTGCTGGTCCCCAGACGCCATTCTCCAGGGGTCGAGGAGAGGCACCTACCATATACGTTGCCCTGTTTGCCCTTCCAGGAGGTGGGTACCTTTGTCCTGAAGATCTGAGGTCCGTTTCCTCTTCTGCTGTGGACCCTGTCGATGGCACTCAGCGTGTCCCTCTCCTGGCATGCTTGACTCTGCGCTTGCCTCAGAGGTCTGTCCCATCTGGGCAGAAGGAAACACACTCAGGGCAAGGAACAACCCCTCTCCTGCCTGGGCGTCTGCCAGGGCCACTTCAAGTGAATGGTTGAGGACCCACCTTGGTGCCTGACTCTCCCAGTTGCTCCAGCTCTGGCATCTGTTCCCTGACCTTGCTGGGCTCTGAAAGACATCAATGGAGTCAGCCAGACTGGTGGCCCTAGACATGGTGTCCCAGGACAATGAGAATAACTCTTCAGATGAAGACACAGAGGAGCTGGTAACCTCCCCTAGGGCTCTTGCTGAAGATCTGAGCCCCGCGCCCCCCCCCCCCCCCGCTAGATAACCTCCTGCTTGACTCCTACAGCCCTGTGAGTTGGTGCCTTCCCTTCCTCAAATGAAAAGAGAGCAATACTTCTGAGCCTCAGAGCCTCTATCCACAATGGGAGACCATGCTGGAGGCCAGCAGGCTGCCAATCACTCTCCCTCCCTCGACACTTCCCTTCTGCACATCCCTTCCCATTGCACATCCCTTCCCACTGCTCCCACTGCTCATCCGTTCCCACTGCAATCCTTTACCACTGCACATCCCTTCCCACTGCAATCCGCTCCCACTGCACATCTCTTCCCACTTCACATCCCTTCCTACTGCACATCTCTTCCCACTGCACATCCCATCCCACTGCACATCCCTTCCCTCTGCACATCCCTTCCCTCTGCAATCCCTTCCCTCTGCACATCCCTTCCCTCTGCACATCCCATCCCACT